TAATTCTGATTCATGCGAAAATAATCGATCCGCCTCGTTCGGGATCCATTCATTACGGACATCGCGCCTGTATCTCCTCGACGTGGAGGGGGGCGTTCTCCTCAACTCCCATTCACGCCGCCAATTACTCTACACGCTGCCCCCCCTCCTCCCCCCCTCCACCACCAGGCGCCGGCCGTGAATGCTTAAGTAATGCAGTTATTGTTTCCGTTAAAAGTTTGAGTTGCCAACTTAGTTTTAATCTCAATCTCAACACCGCATACAGTAAACAGCCCTTAATCCTTGTTGATACAGCGCGGTGTTGCCAAATCGGCGCCTTTTTTCGTCGGACGAGGGGGAAGTTAGGGGAGATTTGGCAGCGTTGGTGCATAATTGTGTTTGAATCGAGTGTTCGGTGCTCGGGCTGTTTTAAGCGATGGAGAGTGATCGATCAAAATTCCCGACGAGTGAGAATTTAAGTCTCGAGTGGAAAGAATATACTTTTGCTAAGTTTCGCCACGCCGGGTGGTTGGTAGATAATCAGCCTGAAAATTGTTACACCACGATTTTTCGGTTCAAATTTGGCGGATGTGTTCTAAGAACTCAGTCATGATGATCGATGGCGTTAGAAACCTCACCCATTCACCATCTGTTCAGCGGCGGTTTCGAGGCTCGTAGGAGCGCTTCGTGCGAAATATTAAAATGATGTGCCTTAATACGTCGTTTTCCGGGCGAAGAAGCGTAACGACCATTCAATGTTGCCAAATTTGTCCTCGCAAATTGCATTTTCGTAGGAGAAACTAGCTTGTTTCTAACCAAAAATTTCACTGACTTTTGTCCGATCTCGTGCTAAAAATCAGCGAAATGGACCAAAATTGTACAGGCACATTTTTATACAAAGATTGAATTGTTTGAGTCAATTTTGCAACCCTGGAATGGAGCTACATTTCTCTGTTTGGGAAACGACGAATAGTCCACAGGGACATGCCCGTCAGTGCCTGCAATGGAGAAACTCCTCAAGAGCCGATGTTTAAAGCGTATATCAGCGCCTGCAAGGCTGTAGGAATACTTCACGTATTGCGCCAAACAGTGCAGTCGGCGTAAAACCCACATAAGTGCCTTCAAGACTACATGAATACTTCTCGCATTGCGCCAAACGCGGTGTAGTCGGTCAGTTAGCGCGGCGTGAAACACATATCAGCACCTACAAGACTATAGGAATGCAGTAAGACTGCGTGTCATCGTGCATGACTTTCTGCTTAGTTTTTACCGTAATTAAATGGAAAATATGTACATGCATTGTAACGATTCAGCAACTCGGATAGTATTTCATTTTTTTTTTTTTTTTTGTTACATCGTAGAAAGTGGAATGAACAAAAATATCGCGTCGAAATTTTCGATACTTTTATTTGAGATCATTTAGGTTATTTCGCGGAAACTTTTAAGAAAAACTATATGTTACTTTTTAAAAATAAAACGTAAAAGTGGTGCATAACGCTGCAATCAGAGATGAATATACGCTTTCTTTTAAGCGTATCCGTTGAGTTTTGAATTCATCCATGTCTTAAAATTCTTGAAAATGGTTGTTCTACGATTTTTTACGTGTGTCTTTAAAAGCTCTTTGGGCCATCCGTGCTGCGAGGGCTATCCAACGAAGAAAGACATGCGCGTAAAAGAGGAGGGAATGAACAGTCTTCCGCGATGCAGATACCACGAACTACCAGGGTTGCCAGATCAACGCTTCCTCGTTGAATATTGAATATTCGCTTGTTGGCACTATCCATTCGTTAGAATTCAGTACGGATTCTTTGAATGGAGATGTTGCATGTGCAAGGAATTCGCAATTCGACTGTTGATTCTTTTGTAAAAGTTCGCGAGAAAAATGATGGTGCCACTGGTTTTCTCTGAAATCATCTCCCAAGCTCAAAAAGAGCTCTCAAGTTAAGGCCAAAATGGAGGGGATATCCTGAGAGTCCACCTCTACATCAAGACAAACTCTCCATGCAAAGATAGGAAGCTAATACATTGACAGCGATGCCGCGTTTTCAGTTTTGGAGTCCCCCAAATAGAGTGGCAGCCCTGTCAATGTATTTTCTCCCTATCTTTGCATGGAGAGTTTGTTTTGATGTAGAGGTGGACTCTTGGGATAGCGTGGGATATCTCTTCCATTTTGGCATCAACTTGAGAGCTTATTTGGAGCTTGGGAGTTGATTTTAGAGAAAACTAGTAGTGGCACCATCGTGTTTCTCGCGAACTTTTACATAAGAATCAGCAATCAAATCGCAAATTCCTCACACATGCAACATCTCCATTTTTGGTTCTACCATTTTTGCTTGCCATCTGCTTCACGAAAAAAGGGATAGGGGTTGGGTCCCAACTTGGACAACATTTATCATGACAGTCTCTGAGATATAAAAATCTGGCAACCTTAATCTTGACGCTTTGACTCAGCTGTAGCAAATTGCTTATAGTTTGAACAACACATGGTGGGAAATGAACATTGCTCGATTGAGAAGATTGCTGAAACCGTTGTGGCTTATATATATTAATACCTAATTTTTCGAAGAAGGATCAGCCTGAATATGATAAAACAGATATATTCTTACGGCGCGCTCTTCCAACACCAAGTGTTGGGTCTTTCAGCTTGTTTTCCATTCAAAAACTTTTGCGCTCGAAAATTCGGATGAAGCATTCGTTTTTATCTCTTCCTTTACCAATGCGCACCTCACTTGTATTCGTAGTGCTTGCGGCTGCCCTATTACGAACATCTCTTTAAGGGACACAATATCATTGAAGTTGTTTAATTAAACGAACAACAATTAACAATAATGAATTAAAACAAACAGTATATCTCCTTGAGGGAAAATTGTGCTTTTATGAGCTTTTTCCCTCTGTATTGAGGTTTTTAGCTTTATGCTGAAATTTTAACGCACGTTGGCTACAAAACTCAAACAATTAATGGACTACTAGACAAGGTACGAATTTAAGCGATCTGATACATGTTTCTGAACCAGAATTTTACGTAGAAAACGATTCACACAACGAAAATTACTGAAACAAACTCCTAACGAAGATATTAACGTTTTTATTTCACATTGGTTACGAGGAATTTGAACTGCCCGCTCACAAGAAACTCAAAGCTCTACGTGAGTCAAATCGCGCACTACAACGGTTTCAGCAATCTTCTCAATCGAGCAATGTTCATTTCCCACCATGTGTTGTTCAAACTATAAGCAATTTGCTACAGCTGAGTCAAAGCGTCAAGATTAAGGTTGCCAGATTTTTATATCTCAGAGACTGTCATGATAAATGTTTAGCGCGCGATATGCATCACGTAGAGCATTGAGTTTTAATGAGCGGGTGGTTTGAATTCACACATCAAGAATTATTGAATATCTTCGTAAGGATGTGATTCCGGTAATTTTCGTTGTGCGCATCGTGTTTTACGTGAAATTTTGGTGAAGAATCATGTATCAAAATGTTGAAATTTACACCTTGTCTAGTGGTCCATTGGAAATGTCCAAGTTGGGACCCAACCCCTATCCCTTTTTTCGTGAAGCAGATGGCAAGCAAAAATGGTAGAACCAAAAATGGAGATGTTGCATGTGTGAGGAATTTGCGATTTGATTGCTGATTCTTATGTAAAAGTTCGCGAGAAACACGATGGTGCCACTACTAGTTTTCTCTGAAATCAACTCCCAAGCTCCAAATAAGCTCTCAAGTTGATGCCAAAATGGAAGAGATATCCCACGCTATCCCAAGAGTCCACCTCTACATCAAAACAAACTCTCCATGCAAAGATAGGGAGAAAATACATTGACAGGGCTGCCACTCTATTTGGGGGACTCCAAAACTGAAAACGCGGCATCGCTGTCAATGTATTAGCTTCCTATCTTTGCATGGAGAGTTTGTCTTGATGTAGAGGTGGACTCTCAGGATATCCCCTCCATTTTGGCCTTAACTTGAGAGCTCTTTTTGAGCTTGGGAGATGATTTCAGAGAAAACCAGTGGCACCATCATTTTTCTCGCGAACTTTTACAAAAGAATCAACAGTCGAATTGAGAATTCCTTGCACATGCAACATCTCCATTCAAAGAATCCGTACTGAATTCTAACGAATGGATAGTGCCAACAAGCGACCAAAAACAGACAAACTCTAGGAAACCAAGATTAAAGGTAAATTTTTAGTTATCGATCCGCTAGAATAAATCCAAATAACTCGAATTTTCCGAAACTGTCAGTTACGGCTCTGTTGCCTCAGGTTACAGACTTAGCTCTCGGTTATCACCGGTGATCACTAGCGGCCTAAACCGCACTAAGCTCTCCTCGATCCTTGAAAAATTAAGGCAGGATACTTCCGTCTGTTTTGCATACCGGCCTCCTCGTAACGCGGGGCATTCCACCTGGAATGCACGCCGTATATTTTAATGTCAGTTTAATTTGCTTTTCATCACTCTCCCGGGCGCTCCCTGGCGGGCGCGGGCGGAAACCGGTACAGGAGCGCGGGTCCTTCTCACTTTCGCCTTGCCCGTGAGTAATTAGTGAGATTAAGTGATGCACGGGAGAAACGGGAAAAAAGCCCGGCGAGCTACAGTGATAAATTAAATGTACCTTAACAAAAGGAATGAAAAAGTGAAACGCGCTCCCTTACTTTTACGACCCCGCGCCCCTCCCCGTATCTATTAGTATCTTTTTTATGGTCGGCGAGCTTTCTTTTTCAGCCGGCGATTGACAATAAAACTCCCGTGAATATTAGCAACAACTAGTTCTTGTCTGAGTGCCAAAGGACAAAGGCCCGATCTCTTTGTGTCGCGTCGTTGTGAGCGGAGAGCGGGGCGCGGAAGTTTCTGCTTACAAGACGCCCGTCGGTCCGAGTTGCCATTTTACGCAGAATCTGCCGGTTTCAACCCGAGAGGAAATAAAAAGTGAACACAACTCTGACTATCTCAAGTTCGATGATTCCTTTAATTTTACATACATTAAGCCGCTTTTATAGCGCAGCCTTGTGCTCTGCGGGACACTACCCAAAAGCGCAAATGACCATAAGCGCAAACCCGAAAAGCGCTAATGTGTAGTCCAAAAGCGCAAATAGGAAGCGCCGAGACTCACCCCAAAAGCGCAATTACCTGTTTTGAACATAAGGTGAATAAAATTTCAGGATAAAAAATGTGGCAACGTCTTACCTACGCATTTAAAAGGAGACAGCTAAGAACTTGCAGCCCGCTTTTTTTAAATATGTCTTCATTGTTTCTGCAGTAATAAACCCTTTGAGTTCATGCTCTGATTGAAGGACCCTGAAGCGTTCAACTAAATACTCCAATTTTTGTAACTGTTTTGCATCACTTTTCGCCGGATTTGTAACCGAACGCATATTGACGTATGATTCGGACTGTACTTTTTTTAGTTCTTCGGAAAAAATATGAATATTCGGGTGGGCACTCGAAAAATTTTTTCTAAAATGGCCATTGAACGACTCGGCTCCATTTGTCGTCTTTGGATCCGTTGATGTAGGCGCCGCAGCCCACATTTCGGGGGGAAAGGAGCATAGTAAAACGTAGTTGTCCAAAATGTACTTACTAAAATCTAGTGCTCGAGGATCATTTGGACAACAGCTATTTAGTATCACGTATCCATCAAGAACCCATTCGGGTGGTAAAAAAGGCAATCCATAAAACATCTTAAGCCAATCACCGATTTGAGATTTCGCGTCACGGTATTCCATTTGAAGACCCAGTTTCGATAATTTCCTTTGCCATGCCTGCCCCAAATGAAAGCGGCAGCCTGTGATTGTTGCGTTTGGAAACACGCTCTTAAAAGCTATGTGCGCGCTAGATTCAAAGTCCAATAAAATTTTTCGGGGATTGAATTTTCCCTCCGTCAAAGTTAATATAAAATTCCACATGTTTTGATAACACTTCATTTCTTTAGAGGGTAGAATACAGTAGGCAAGTTGAATATAATGTCCGTTAACAAAAGCATGGATAATGTACACTTGATAAAAAAATTTAGGAGTCACGAAAAAAGTCCCATCAGCTAGCAGCAGCTCACAGTTATCACATAGAAATTTCAAGTTCGTCGCGCACGTGTATACAATAATTTGAAAAAGTTTGTTGACAAAGCAAAAGTTTTCCCCTTTATTACTCAGACATACGAAATGTGGGCTAGATACTTGCATCAAAGTTTCTTCCCGAGATTTTGGCAACGTGGGGAGAACCGAACGACGTGCATTATAAATACCTTTTTTTACATTTTTCACACCACTTTTGTCTTCAGCATTTTCTTCTTTGCTTAGCTCCAATCTTACTAGTTTTGATGGTCTTTGTGCGATATCCTCTAAAGCTTTTCGTTTGCACGTATTTTTGAGGTGATCATGATCAATTTGTTTTTGATCTAGTTTATCGTGATTGCGATGCACAACTGAACTTCCCGAGGCTAACTCTGTTTCACTAGCATTACTGCGAACTGTCGCGCCGCACTGTTTAAAAACGCATCTCCACGAAATACTGTTGTCGGCCATAACCCGTTGTTTCCGATATCTAAAACCATCAATTATGATGCATGGAACGCCTTTATTCGTAAAACTTTTTTTAAATTCCATTTTTTCTGAGTACTTTTCATACACGCACGACCGACCGATTGTCACACACTGATAACCGTGTTGCGCAATACAGATCAGCCGATGCGCGAGGCACTGATCCGCGATTCCATATTATCAGCTAGCCCTTCACTCTCCGCTGCGGTGTTTTGATTTTGGGTACCTATGAGGAACACTGACGCTCCACGCCATGTTGTCAAACTGCAATCACATTTCTAAACTTAATGTATTGGCCTTTTTTCATATTTTAGAGTACCCATTTGCGCAAAGGAGTCCCTTCCTCCACCACCCCAAAAGCGCAAATCTGCATTTTGCGCTTTTGGGGTTTGCGCTTTTGGGCGTTTGCGCTTTTGGAAACTTACCGCTCTGCGACGCCCAATTGCCATTGCCCCTTATCCTCCCAGAGACCATCAGGCAATTGGCACCTTCTGATCTCCCTCCTCCACCCCCTTGTCGCCAACCTTTCACAGGACGTCCACGCCGTCGTCGCCTACCGGGAGGAACCCAATCGAAAACCTGCTTGGGCAACCGATCGTCTGCATTCCTTGAATTTTCATTTTCTATAATAGACATGGCTTATTGGAGATCTACCGGGTCAATTTCAACGATTTGTTGGCTGTCAAGAGCTCATCGGCTCGACTATTCCTACTTGGATACTCTTCATCTTTAAAAAAAACACTATTCCCGCAATCACACGCTGAATTCAGCAGCTGAATGTGGAAGTCAACAGTCATCGCCCAACGGCTGAAATTTTGCAAATTCGAGTTATTTTCATCCAGATGTGTATCAAATCTACTCGAACAGTTCAGAAAAATTCAATATTAGTCCGATGGTTACTGAAAATCGTTGCTGAATCAGGCATCGGGCCGATGACTTCCACGTTCAAGCCACATTCAGCGTGTGATTGCGGCATAAGAAATGACCCGAACTTCATGTAAGAAGATGGTGAAATGGTGCTGGGTCTACACCATTTCGCCGGGGAAACAAAGTCCAAAAAGTTCCAGAAATCTCGATGGTGAAAGTACTAAGCCACGTATCTCAGTTTCATGTTGTAGACTTCCTGTCATACTTCATCTTTTAGATGGGAAACTACTCAACGTCAATTCTTGAAAACTTCTTTGATTTTTCGCCTTTGAGTGGCGAAAAAGCTGTGAAAAACAAAGGAATGATATTGGTTTGTTTTCCTGTACAAAAATAAAATGAGAGCAGAGATTTTTTAACACCGTAATCGAGATACGTGGTCTGGTAGTATCGCCGTCGATATGCTATAAATAATTCATTCATCTATTTTCCACTTGCTCCCGATTCTATAACCAAACATCCCTTCCAAAGCGCACGTATGCTGTCATTTCTATCGGATAAAATCGGCACCGTTGCATCAAGTCTTCACAAGACGGTGGACTCTGAACTATTTTAAAAGACTCTGAAAGAAGTTCAGCAACTCTAAAATTTCCGCTTTGTTACGCACGCTGAAAAAAGGCGCATCTGGCTCTATATTAAAATCTTCACGTCGGGCTGAAATTTCGATCTCCTCCCCGCGACGAGCTCCGAACCGGCATTTTGTAAACGAGAAAACGGAGGCACGATGGATTCCGCCTTTCCTGGAAATGATCATATTCCTCCTTTTTTTCTTCTCCCCGGGAGAGTTGTAACTTCCCTCCAGGAACCAGTTAATTACCACTGTTGATAGAATGCCGGGCCCATTAGGGGCCTGTAAATTTACTTTGTGTTAAAATGCATAATTTTGCGTCTCGGGGTTATTTGATGACCGCCGAACGACCTGGGAGTGTTTCGCCGAATGGAAAACTATGCTCATTTGAAATCTTTTGTGTGTTTAAGAACTTTGAACTGTTGGCGTCTGGAAAGTAAACTTTCGAGATTTTTTCTTTTTTTTATTACTCGGAGGAAAACCGGTCATTTTAATGCAAACGGCTATACCTAGAGAGCCATGGTGTACGAGAATTTTCGCAGAATACTTGTTCAAGGAGATTTCTAATTATCCTGCCCATCTTCAGCTCTCAGAGAGTTGTGCTGGATTCTAACCAGAAAGAATGAAATGTTACCAATACGTCCAATTCATCATAATCTATTTTGTACATTGTATTTGATAACACATTTAAGCAAGGATTTTTCATCATAACTAAGGCGGTATTAAATACAGTCGTCGATAATTGGAAAATGTTTTCAAGTGTAATTTACTTATCTTTTGTGGTTTTTAGATGTTTTTTTGTGAATTTATGTTTATAAAAATTAACACTTTCAGCAAGGATTTTTGTCTTGTGTGCTCGGATTCAGCATAACATATTTTATACATTGTATTTGATAACACAGTTAAGCATGGATTTTTTGGTAAAGCAAAGTCGGTTTATTAAACAGTAGGAGAACAAGGAGGGGAAACGGGAAACAAGGCTCAAATTCACAATTCATAAAAACCTATAATTATTAATTGTGCATTTTAGTCTTGTTTCCCGTCCCCCCCCCCTGTTTTTCTACTGTTAACATTGTATCGGGCTGCTCTTAAAAATGTGTATCTATGTTGGTATTAAATACAGCTGTTAATAACTAGAAAACGTTTCGGAGTGTATTTAAATATTCTATGTTTTCTGCGTGTTTCTTCCTAATTTATGCGCAGAAAATTAACATTTTCAGTAAGGATGCATCTCTCGTGTGCACGAATTCAGCATACTTTATCTCAGACGTTGTATTTGATGACACACTTTAACCTAGGCTTTTCATTATAACAAAGTCTGTATCAAATGCAGCTTTTAATGACTAAAAAAAGTTTCGGGGTGTAATTTACATATATTTTATGTTTTTTACGTGTTTTCGCGAATTTATGTGCGAAAAATGAACATTTTTAGCAAGGATTTATCTCTTTATGGGCACGGAGGCCCATTCCAAGCGCAGCCGCAACTTGTGAAAATTAAACTCCACAGCTCATCCCGGGAGCCGAAGCAACCTGGACCGCGAGCAGATTGCCGCCGCGCTAAGGAAAAACGCCGTATGAACATTTGAGAGTTGCCAAATTTCCCAGCATAAAATACGTATTTTCCAGAAACATTATTTAACATTTTCTTTGAAATTTTCAGATATTCTAGATAAAATTACTGACAAAAATCCTCCGCAAAATTGGAGAGGAAATATTTATAAATTTTCCTGAGAATTCGTGATTAGTTGAGGGAAATGGACCACTAGACAAGGTACGAATTTAAGTAATCTGATACATGTTCCTTAACCAAAATTTTACGTAAAACACGATTCTTACAACGAAATTACTAAAACCAACTCCTAACGAAGATATTAACATTTTTATTACAGATTGGTCACGAGGAATTTGAACTTTCCGCTCACAAGAAACTCAAAGCTCTACGTGAGTCAAATCGCGCACTACAACGGTTTCAGGAAGCTTCTCAGTCGAGCAGGGTTCATTTCCCACCATGTGTTTTTCAAACTATAAGCAATTTGCTATAGCTGAGCCAAAGCGTCAAGATAGAGGTTGCCAGATTTGTATATCGCAGAAACTGTCATGATAACGTTTAGCGCTCAATGTGAATCACATGAAGCATTGAGTTTTCATGAGCGGATGGTTGAATTCACGCATTAAACATCTTTAAATATCTTCGTAAGGTATTGATTTCGGTAATTTTCGTTGTGCGCATCGTGTTTTATGTGAAATTTTGGTCAAGAACCATGTATCAGGATGCTGAAATTCGTACCTTGTCTTGTGGTCCATTTGGCAACGCCTGATGGTTCATACGTCGTTCCTCCTCAGCGCGGCAGATTGATCACCCGCGGGAAGCGGAGACGGGTCGCTTTAATAAAGAGCGCGAAAACGTAAACCGTAAACGGCGCGAGAGGGCGGCTTAAAGAATTTAAAGGGTTGCGGAGTCCCGGACGGGGCGGAAAGGGGGGGCGCCGGCAGGTGGGTCGCAAAGAAAGGGCGCGCGTCATTTCATTTAAATGAAGTGTTTTAACACTCGAGTCATTTAAGTGTTTTCATAAAACACGTTTAATACCCGCTCGGCGCGTGCAAAGTTTCTTAATTTCATAAGCCCGTCAACCTTCGGGCCGGCCGGTTATTTATTTTAGTTTCTTGCGTGTGAGCTTCCCGCGGTCGGGTCGTCCCCGCCGCCCCCGCACATGACGTCAGACCCCCCCTCCCCCCGTCCGGTCCATGGCTCGGTTTTCAACGCGATTAGTTAGTTTCTGGGCGCCCGGCGACATGGGAGCCGCTACCGGATGGTCGCGCAGTGGACGCTAGCAACTTTTTTTCTGCCGGAATGAGATTTTTTCATATTTTATCTTGATTGTTATTTGTTACTGGAGTGCCTCTATGGACAGAGTATGGTCATTCGTATCTTTTTACTACAGAAAAACTGTGCCGTTTTTGATTGGTCGAAGAGTGTTTAGGCTTCATGATGCTCTTACGGCCGTAAATAAGAGAGAACCCACACACGCAATTTGGCCTGGAGCGGCGCAACGCAGAGAGCAATGATGACGAGTAATTAATATGAAAAGAAGGAGCCCTCAGCGCGGCGGTCGGCATGTAACACATATTAGCACCTGCAAGACTACATGAATACTTCATGCATTGCGTCAAACACAGTGCGGTCAACAGCAGTCGACGCGAAACGCATAGCGCCTACAAGACTGCATGAATACTTCACGCATTGCGTCAAACACAGTGCGGTCAGCAGTAGAGTACCTTTATGGACTGAGTATGGCCATTCGTATCTTTTTACTACAGGAAAACTGTGCCGCTTTTAGATTGGTCGACGAGTTTTTAGGCTTCATGATGCTCTTACGGCCGTAAATAAACAAACAAGATGGCGACTAACCGTAACATTGAAAAGAAGCTAAAATTTGAAAAAGACTTCAATTATACGGCAGTAAAGATTTGAACTAACATATCTAAGAATAACACATGAAAAATAATGAAAACACTATTCAATCGCCTTTTGCCTTTATCATAAGGGGATGTAAGATGTGCATATAACCTCCGACTTGCTTGCTGATAATAGCCATCTTGTTTGTTTATACCAACAAAACTTGGCCTACCTAAAAATGCATCAAAATAAATTAACTTCCTCCTCGCCAAAATTTGTGTCGTGCTGCACAAAAACCCCTTATAGGTATATGGGCTGAATTTGGTATCAAAATAAAATAGACAATTATGTTCTAAATAAATTGTTTGGTCTTTAAAATACTAACTGAATTTTGAGATGGTCCTGTATCAAAAGAGTTAGAATAT